CTATAGTTTCTTAGCCGCGTTTTTTTTTTGTTTTTTTTTTTCGCGCCATATTTTTTTTTTTTATCAAATGTATTTTGGGGAATGTTTAGGGACGTTGAATCTTGACAGATTCTGAATAGAGTTCTCATTGTTTGGTAATGGCTCTCCCACAGTGTGTTTCACGCTATGCCAAATCGTGTGTTTTATATTAGCCGGAAATTGAGAATTCGTACTCTCCGCGGTATGCTTTCCCCTCTTATTATGCTCTTATGACTGGTAATGATAGCGATTTCGTATTTATTTCTGCTCTTACTTCCTGTGCCCGAGTCGTCGTGAAAGCGAAGAGATCACTCAGCATTTTCCCTGTGGAAAGTTTTTGTTAACTTGGTTCCGCTAAAAATCTGTTACGAAATGTGCGATATGCCGAACTCCATCATATTCACTTATTTTTGTATCTTTTTCTGATAAAACATACAGAGCGCCTGAAGTAAATCATATATACACAAATGTGGTCCAATAAAATGTTTTTGAAATATTTTCTATTGTTAAAGCTTGGTCTGCTGGGCAAGTTGGTAATGGACATTCATATTAAAAATAGCGCAAAAGAGACGGGACAAAAAGACGAAGAAGCACACAGGACAAACGCTAACTGGCAACTAAACTTTATTGAAAGCTTCCAACTTTGCTATCGCCATGCACGCGCTTAGTCTCGTTCAACAGAGACAGGGCGTAGCGCCAAATCCGCACAATCATACCGCCCACCGCCTGTTCCAAAAAGTCAGCAAAACAGCTACATCACCCCGCCGCACAATCCGAACGAGAAGAGAATAGAAAAAACGTAGCAAGAAACACGTGACAAAGTTTGTACCTTGTGCCACTGAGGTGGTTTACAGGATTCCTCTAACGTGTGGCCGTGTTTACATAGGGCAGACGGGACGTTGCTTAAATGATCGACTTCGAGAGCATGCGGCTTCTCTTGGCAACAATTACGGTTCCCACTTACCGGGGCATTGTAGAACTTGTGGTTGTTCCCCCAAGCTGGACGGTGCGAAGGTGGAGGGACGAAACAAAGGAAGGAGGGAACGTGAGTTGCTGGAGGCAGCGAAAATACGTGATTGTGACAAAGACGTTTGCATAAGCGTCGCATCGGTGTATATGCAGCAGAAAGAGTACCATTTCATTAACACTATCTAACTTGACAATATTAACGCGGCGTTTTTTCTATTCTCTTCTCGTTCGGATTGTGCGGCGGGGTGATGTAGCTGTTTTGCTGACTTTTTGGAACAGGCGGTGGGCGGTATGATTGTGCGGATTTGGCGCTACGCCCTGTCTCTGTTGAACGAGACTAAGCGCGTGCATGGCGATAGCAAAGTTGGAAGCTTTCAATAAAGTTTAGTTGCCAGTTAGCGTTTGTCCTGTGTGCTTCTTCGTCTTTTTGTCCCGTCTCTTTTGCGCTATTTTTAATATGAATTTCTATTGTTGACCCCAAAATGCTCCACCAGTCAGGAGTTAATGTGGAAAGTGTGCAACTTCAATGTTTAACAGCATAAAAAGCAAACATACAAGTATACACCTCTGTTTTGTGAAGTAAAATTATTGCTTGACACATTTTGCACGGTTTCTATTGTAAAAAGTAAAATAAAACTGGTTCAACATTTAAAAAAAAAATAAAAAGAAGCGGCTCCGGGAGCCGAGTAGCTCTCGAGAGCCTAACGAGGAGAGAGGCGAGGAGGATAAAGAGGAAAAAGGAGAAGGAGAAGGGTACCGGAGAACTGGAGCAGAAATGCACAAACCGAAACCGAAACTAACTTGACCGGAAGGGGAACCAGTTTATGCTTAATGTCGCCTGTTAGGAGCGCTAGCTGTCACTGGTCTATCTGGGTCGCTGGGGCCTATGGCAGTGTCCGCTCATTACCTTGTGTATATTATCTATGCCAGCCCCGCCTCCAGAGCGGCCGCGCCGTAAACTACTACAGAAGTTAAGATGTGCCTTGGTCAGGACGTGCTACCTGAATTCACCGCTGAGGCATGGTTGCATAAAAACAATGTTAATTTTGAGGCAAAACCTCGCAAACTAAATATTTTAGAAAAAATCACGCGCCCCTCATTTTGTACTAAACTTCAATAAAAGTTCCCCACTGAGGGTTTTAGTAATGTTGGTGTGTGGAATCAATAACTGCAATTTTTTTTTTTTCAGGCGAACACCTAGACTGTCGTTGCAATCGAGAGCGACATGCAAACAGCCCGTTTAGTCATGCCCATAATTCGTCGATTGTTTGTTTTTGGAATGAAATATTGGTCAGTTTCACCATTTACTTCCGTTGTGAATCGCAATCGTGGTTTTTGGCGTGCATCGCGGGGAAGGCCACCTTTCGGAATCTGTGCACCAATCTTGTGACGGAGGTTTTTATTGCTTGACCAACTGCTATCGCTCATACGCCCTTCTCAAGACAAGACACCTGGGAAAATGTGGATTCATTCGTTTCTACTGTAAAAGCAGACGTCGTATTCCACACGAAAATTGTTTAGGTAACTGTTATTCCTAGATATTTGTTGCGGTAAAAATGGTTGTTCTCATGTATTTGCATCTGTAGCTTCCGTGGCGTGGGCATTGCGCCTCGTTGGTTTAACACAGGTCTATCTTGCGATTCAACATTGATTGCTTAATTAAGCGAATCATTTCTAATCTGAAACGTGTATATATCGAGCAATGTTGAGCGTCAGTTCCGCCTTCCTTAATATTTCGCTAGACAAATCCTGGTAAGCTGTTAATACACCCTTTTCAAAAACGCACTCCGTCTAGCAGCTCCTGTGAACAAATGATCCAAGTCAGCAATAGTTTGGGCACGTACTATGAGCACGTATTGTACACTAGGGCTGTGAAAGCATTCGGTGACGAATCGGATTAAATCACAAGCGCTTTCTGCACAATAGATGGATGAATGGATGGTAATGGTTATACCCATTGTAACGGGCGCCAGCTTGCGCCACCTAGTCTAACATTCCGTCGTCCTTTTTTTTTTAATTCGTATGAATTTTATTATAACAGACCCCTCCCCCTTTTTTAAAGTGATTCCATTGCTTCATTTTATCTGTATTTTTTTATCCTTCCCTAGATCTCTTCCACCAATCTTCCAATCTCCTCAAACATTTCCCTATCCATTCGCCCATCCATGTCCGGAAAACCCAGTGCTTCTACCAAATCCGTAGTCATCCCCAAGAGGGTGGGACGAAGCCCCGTGCACCTTAAAATTACATGTTCTATAGTTTCCCTTTCGCGGTTGCTTTATTTCTTGTTTGTGTGCCCTGTATGTTGTTAAAGTTGATTTCCCCTGCATTCCCTCTTCCCACAATTTCCTCTCAGTTTCCTTTACTCCCTTTTCTACTAATATGCTTTGATCGGCTCCATCTCGTTGAATGTATTTAAATCTCAGCTTGCGGGTTCAATTTGTCCACTTAGTGTTCATACTTTTCATGTATAGATACTTGTGCACTTTCGCTGCCCACCGTGTATCCTCAATTTCAGCTAGTCTTTGTTCAAATTTTACTTTACTGATCGCTTCTCTAAGATGCCCAATCCATATCACCCTGTACTCCCTCATTTGGTGTATTCCTATGTGCCCCCAATGCCAACCTACCCACACTCCTTTGCTGTATCTCTAAACCTGCCTGAATTTCTGACCTCATACACATATCGCATTCCCAAATGAGAGTCCTGGCACCAAGACTCCCTCCATACACCTCTAACGACTTCATATCTATTATAGTTTCATAGTGCCCTGTGTTTCATGATAGCTGAATCTAGTTTCCCTTTTTTATTACAATATCTTCATGGTCTTTTAGATACCGTCTTCATTCACTTAACCATGCTCCCAACTATTTGTACTTTTTAACGTGTTCTATCAATGTGTCCTGTATCTCCAGGAGTTTAACCTTCTCGTCGTTGGAAACTATTATACCCGACTTGTATCTACTAAATTTTAGTCCTAAATTGTCCCCTTCCTTGCTGCAAATCCTAATCAGTTCTTTCTGAACTTTCTGATACGACTTTCTGATACGAGTACAATGTCGTCTGCATACATTATCCCCGGCAATACTTCATTTACTTTATGTCCTTCTTCCATGAAAGTCAGGTCAAAACCTAGGTTGCACTGTTCTAATCTTTTTTCCATCTCACTGAGGCACATCAAAAATAGCAGGGGAGACAATGGGCAACCCTGTCTAAGACCTCTTTTTATTGCTGTTGGTCTTGTAGTGTCGGTTTCCCATGTTTAACCACCCTATTCTCCGTATAAACCCGTTCTAGAAACTTAACCACGTCAAGCAACATTGGCGACCGCCAATGTTGCTTGACGTGGTTTTGAAATGTGCCTTTTGTTTCTAACATTGCAGTTGAGTTCGTATCTCCGGTTCCCTTTCCTCGTTTGTTTGATAGAGCGGGTTAAGCTTCGATTGATAGATTCAAACCAAGGAGCGCACTACGTTTTAATGGAAGTTAAACCGCAGCTGTCGCACCGAGCCACATCCAAGCCGATCCAGCGCTTTGAACGCATCACGTGATCACGTGCCTCGCGCGCTGCTGCACAGATCCAGAAAATCACGGGACGCTCGCACGGCAGTGGATTGGCTCTCATGGCTCGTAGCGTCCTACACTATCCATTGTAAGGTCGAACGGAGTAGAGTAGGAAATTCACTGTGTTCTTAACAGGGGAATTTTTAGGCTGGGAGTTGAACGCTGTCGAAACGCAGCAAAGGCTAGCTTATATTCGCAATATATTCCCAATAAGCGCAAGTTACGACTGGTAGGGCAGGACACAGGTTTGCTAACGTGTACCGTCAATGGGGAAGACAAAATTGTGCAATAAAAAGGTTTGACGACACTGCAATATTGTACACTAGTCTTCCAGTATACGTTAAAAATACAAATATTGGGTGCCACATTTGCTATGCAGAAGTTCAATAAGCTGTGTGATCCAGCTATGTCGCATGTTTGTTTTTTGTTAAGTGTTGTGTACTTTCACAGGAAATTGATACGGTGACCGCTTGGATGCTGTGTGACCAGTCAGAGAAATTGTTTGAGTAAGCACGCCACAACAATTAGATACGTCAGCCCTCTGTAGAATGCTCTGAAATGCAGGACTCTTACTCGTAGGCAAAACAAGACTACCCTGGAGACTTTGCTATGGCGGATGGAGTATGGGGCACGGGCATCTGACAATTGGAAACATTGGAATGCGTATCATTCTAGTCTTTTCGAGCTTTTCTTGAATAGTTACTTTAAGCGGAGTGACATGGTGGAGTCAATCATGGTAAGCAAACACAATTTCATTACGCTCTTGCTTTCTACCGGAACGGAAGTGGAGCATCCAAAACTTTTCACAATAGCGCTACACGTTGCAGTGTTGCACTGTTGCCAGATGTCCTCAGATTAACCTCCCAAAAGTTGTCAAGTTTCGTTACTTTTTGTAATCAACGTTACATCGAGCATACTAAAAATTTATAAATAACGGAAAAAGCAACAGGATTCTTTCAAAGTTACTTTGCAAAAAAATACTTTTACGCAAACAAAATCAAAACTGATAATTTAGTTTGTTAACAATATTACTTTTTTTACATAATTGTCACAGCGTCTTAGAAACGGTACCTTCTGAAATGCGACGGATTCGGAAGGGAGAATTTTTATTTTGGCCTACGTCTCGTAAAATGCAAACCAAGAAATGGCGTAACGCTTGCACAGATCAAGTCGGGAACAAAATATCGCGATTGGAAACTCCTGTACTATATATTTTCTCTTAATTTTATTCTTCTCTAAAGATCTGTAAACTTTTTTTTTCGCGCGCCTTTTTCCCTAAGCTATACCCTTCAAAGTACCTATAAAAAAATTAGAACACAGTCACTATACTATTTCTTTGCGGTAATACATCGCGCCGGTACCTCTACACATTCATATGACACGAATATCGCGGTTTCGTAGAAGTCAAGTCTCTGACTCTGAATTACTTTTAAACTTCACACATCTTGTTTGCATCCGCTCAAACTACAGTATTGAATTAACTATTTTAACCTAAAAACTGCAGCAATTCTGACCTTTTATTTTACATCTTCGCTTTGGAGTCCACGTTCTTGTCGAGCTCAAGTGTGTGTCCCCCTTCGTTTTTTAGTATCGGGTTTTATGTCTCGACCGATAAGTTTGTTCATCTTCTGGTAGTTGTCAGCGAATATTTCAATTATATTTTTTTTATTTTATTTTAGCGACAACATTGGGATAGCTGCGAAGTGTTATTTTAAATCAGAAGCAGATGCAGAATAGGAATATTTATTTTTCATTAATCTGTTTCAACTTCATGCAACTTCGATAATTGTTTATCAAAATAATGTGTTGAAATGAATGTAACTTCATCATTTCAACCAATTAAATGGCGGCACTTTTTCAGGAACGACTTTTGTCTATTATGGATAACGTAGCAAAGAAAATGGACTTCACGCCCGTGGCAAATGACGTTACGTGAGTATGAATTGGATGTGATCTCATTACACTTCGCTGCGAAAATATAAGTCAAGATTTCTTGGACTCCTTTCACTTTGATTTTGGTTTTATGGAGTCATGCGAGATCTGTAAACATTATTAGATCGATTTTGTTTCGTGTAACTTCTGGTGTATATTCTCCCAAGTTTAAGTAACTATTTTTTATTGGTTTATTACATACTGCACTTAAACTTCATGAATGTTCCTGGCAGGAAGGGCAGAAAGGGAAATACGGGAAATCTCGTACATGTTCAGAGAAGCATTTTCACCGATAACAGGCTGCACGTCGACATTATCGTTAGGTTTTGCAGTATGCTATTTTGCCGTTACGTAGAAGTTTTATCAGTTCATACGCGAACAAGTCTTTATTAAGATGTCCTCACTGAGGCTGAACCTCCAGAAAATGTGTACAAGTCTAGTAACAATCCACTGATGAGTGTGAATTCGAACTAGTGAGGTGCTTCTGTTATAATGATACTAAAGTGTCAGAACGGTCACAAGTAGCGCTGGACGTCGATTAAAACTTTTAACCAGATTAATTAACACCTTTTAGTCTATTAATTATTCGGTTAATCGATTTTGTTGATTCTCATGCATATGTTTCTAAAAGGAACTTTTTTTTTTTTTTGCCGTTGCTGAATTGTGATATACGGCGCAATGTACGTTTTCGGATTTTAAATCAACTCTGATGTATAGTTGAGAACGATCAAAGGACTCCCCCACTCGCAAATTCTTACGTCAGCCCCAGAGGCAAGGAGGTTCGTTGACATTCTCAGGCAATATCGAACTCCTTCGATTGTTCCCAACAGTCTCTGCTGAGCTAAACGGACACTCCCATGGCTTTGACGAGGCCGGAACACGTACAACCCTCTCCCCTAGTTTGGAGTTACCAATCTCGCCCCTACGGCTTACTTTAGGTCAATAATTCCACCTAAAGGTTTAACATCGCACAAGTGTACTCGTCCACGTCTGCGCGGTGAAAGAGTTAAATGTGTATATTTTGTTGATAAAATTTAACCGATTAAGCTAGTAAACAAATTAATCGCGATAAAAGCATTATTCGATTAATCGGTAGGTTAATCGATCAAATGCCCAGTCCTAGTTACAAGTGTAATTTTCGCGGATATGTCTGGCCTGCAGCCCTAAGGCAGAGGAGTAACTTCGATCTACGATGACGTCAGCGCCATAGAAGCTCCGTTGACCATTGCTGTTTGTGGCGGCCTTCAACGTTTAAACTTGACATTTCGCATCATAGTGGACAAGGCCTTTCAGTACAACGATTGAAGCCCGCAGTAGCCTGGTTCAATATTTTCCTATGATCATTATATTAGTCCACGTGATAGATTCAACTCAATCAACGTCGCCTAGAATGATCAAAGCCCGCTCCCTAGCGTTCCGACGTCATCAGAGTGAGCTGCACGAGCGCTGCGTCGGCGTTCGGCTTCGCCTCGTGTCCAATCAACGCGTCGAAGGACGCCCACCATCGGGCTCGGACCCAATGGCTGACTTGGCGCCATTCAAGTGTGATGACGTCACGAGGAGGTAGACCAGGCTGTTTACTGGCTTCGGATATTCCAGGCATGGTGTTGACACATAGCGGGGCGCAAGGTCGTCTGCTCCTTGCGCAGGGGCGGCGATGATGTCAAAACGCCGAACTCTAAAAAAATAGTGGGTAGAGCTTAAGGCATCTAGCATTGAAGTCCACGAGAAGCAGACGGCTAGCCCTCCGAATAGGCCCACTGCACAAAAATTGTTTCGGTAAATTCGGTCTTGGCGAGTACATAGTGTCATTGGGGAGTGGACGATATTCGAAGTCTGTGCCCCGTCAAATGGTTTAAATTTTAAAACATTCTTATTAGAGCGAAACCCTATCAAGGAGAAGGAGGTAGAAGAAATTAAACAGTCCGTAAAAAAGAAAAGAAAGGAAAATCTTGTAAACAAACGCGTTTGAATCAAATGAGCGACGCCGTCGAGGGCTTCGCGTTGTACCTGACTCTGACAACAGTTAACAATTTACTTTCTCGTCCTACTATTACTTGTCGACGTTCAGTTACGCTCAAATCAACACTGTCGGCGTCCTGTGCGGTATCGGCCACCCCATCTGTGTGAATGCCTCGAGGTTGCTTTGGAATGAAGGCAGCTCCCTTTGGCAGAAGGGTTACAAGGAATTCAACCGGTAAGTTCTGTAGTTCCATTTTTATACAGTAGAGCTGTTAAGGGCTAGGTTCCCCAGTTTCGTGTCCGTCGCCAAATAAATGTCGACAGAAAACTCTGGTCAGCTGCCGCCATCTTAGAGCGACGGCGGCAACCAGACTACCGGCTTACCGGTCGTCTAGTTGCTGTCGTCGCTCATAGTTGGCGGCAACATTTCCAGCCTTTCCAATCCGGTTTTCACCAGAGTGGAAAGGATGAATTACACTAGGCGTCGTCTGAGAAGTCGTCCTCGAGGTCGTCCTAGCAGTCATCTTTGAAATCGTCCTTGACGTCGTCCTTGAGGTCGTACTAGAAGTCGTCCTAAACGTCGACCCTGAGGTCGTCCTAGACGTCGTCACTGAGGTCGTCATAGGCGCGGTCCTTGAGGTCCTAGGCGTCCTCCCTGAGGTCGTCCTAGACGTCGTCCTCTAGGCGTCGTCCCCGAGGTCATCCTAGAAGTCGTCCTTGAGGTCGTTCTTGAAGTCGTCCCTGAGGTCGGTCAAGACGTGGTTCAAGACGTCGCCCTCTAGGCGTCGTCCTACAAGTCGTCCTTGAGGTCGTCCCACCATAGTACAGCTTCGCTGGTCTTCTTTGTTTACCAGAGTGCAAAGGGTGACATTTTCTTTTTAACGTATGGAGGATTAGTGTTCTTCACATACTACAGAGGAGCGTATTTTCTATTGCTTCTATTTTCTTTCGTGTTGCTTATATTTTAAATCACTCTGTAAAATTCCATAAGGCGTTAAGTGGCTACGATGAGAAACACCAGGACACTATAAACAGCCCAGCCACAAGGGCGTTCAAACAGGTTTTGGGACCTATGGGTGGTGTAATTCTTTTGCGGATACCAAATTCTCGGGCACTCTGATGGGATAGGTAATGTTGCGAGCGTAGTGCGCTACTTTGGGTTGCATCGAGCTCGTATTTCCACCTATATAACTCGCGTCATTGGGAAATATTGGTTGTAGCGCGAAAAGAGTTTCCGTCCAACATGGAAGCTCTCAGCAGCCCATAGGCTAAATGTTCCAGTCAAGCTGGAACAACGTAGCAAACCGACCACTGGCGAATGCACCGAATTGCACAAGTGACCACTTAACTTGCTTGTAGGTTGGCACGATGAGGAGTATAACGAAATGAAACATTCCGAAACATTTTCCAATTTTGAGGCCGACTTGTGACTGCATTTGTTTCGAAGGTATGCATGTGAGATGTTTAGGAAGCATCACAATGTTTCCAGCCGCTTCGGTGGCTTCGAGGCAAAGCGCGACAGATCCCCAGTTGGCGGGTTCGAGTCTTGACAAAGGTGCATGGCGGATAAGCTGCTGTGTAATCGAGATTTCGATCGCACGTCGGATAATCTCCAGATGGTCAAAACTAATCCAGATTGTTGTTTTTGCTGGAGCGTGCCATATGTCCTCTGTTGGTTCGACACATACCAAATATTTACTTTACATGTTTTGCGAAAAGTAGCCGTATTCAGGCATTTTAAAAACAAAAATAAAAAAAATGCGAACTTTTTTTGTTATATATTGTTCTGACTCCACTAGACATTTCTTTTTATTATATATGTATTTCTGAGCGCGAATCAGTTGTGAATGCGAAAGTATGCAAGCCGCTCGTCCGCTCCCTTTGTCGTCTGCTGCGTTCTAGCGCGCGCGTGCTTCGGGGTCTCGAAGGCCATGTGTGATGGTAAGAAATATGGACTCGGGATCTCGACACGGTGGATGTGAGGAAAAATATATTGTTTGAAAAGTATCGGAATAATAACGTTATTGTAACCACGAAAAATATATATACACAAAGCCAAGTCTGGGGTGTTCTGCTCACTCGCCGCCGCACTTCAGGTGTTGTCGGAACCTCGGATGCCCTAGGCGTTTTCCGGATGGCGAGGTCTCGATGTTCGGTGCCGGCGGTGGTTCCCCGCCAAGCCTGGTTGGTGCCCCCAAGGACCTCAGACGTCTGTCCGGAACGCGTATTACTTGGCTGCTGGAGCCAGCGGCGTTGAGCTGTGTTCGTTCCTTCCGTGTCCAACCCCAAAACCGCACTGCACGAGTTTGCCTGAGCCGTCACATCTGCCCATGTTGTCTTCCTTCTCTTCTATGTCCCGTTCACGTCATCACACCATGGCGCAGCGGCCAGTGGGAGCCCCGGCGACGCGCGCCAGCCAACGGAACCGAAGGCGAATCGCTTCTATTGGGGTCGCGGCGGAAACTAGGAGCCGTTTTCACGCTTCAGTCAGCTCGCTCCATGAGACAGTTAATGCTTTCGCACTAAAACGGCTTGCTCACCGTTTCCCTATGCATGGACTGAGGACTCCTCGAGCTTCTAGCTTTTATCCTCATTTCCTTACCATGTTTACGAATGGAATTAAAGAATTTGATTAAATATGATTCGATTTTGCACGGGTTTAGGGCTCGTATAACTTTTTTGCGTGATTGTGATGTATTTAACATATTTTCAGGTGGGTAAAGAATAGGTCCTCCATTCCCGGAAAAGTGGTTATGGGCATGCTGCTACGTTTTGGCTCACCCGAAGAACAGGGGACCATTTTATCCTGGATCCGTGAAACGGAAAATAAAAAAGTTGCACAGGAGGTGATCGCCCAGTGCACCAATGTCTCTCTCATTGAAATGTGAGCATCGTATAACTGCAGGGAAATTTTTGTATTTACGTAGTGTGACAACAGATTTCCTCGGAATGTCAAATTTATGCTGTTTTTAGATAAAACTATTTTTACACCTGTATTATAGTACTTTTGTTTTAATTTCAAAACTACTACTGACGCAGCAACCATCTGTACCATAATTAATGCATTTCTTTTTTTCTTTTTTTTCTTTAATCGTAAAAAAAGCCAGGAGGAACTTGTTACACAGAGACGTTTCTTCCTCTGCCGTGACAGCCGAGAAAGCATAATTACAAATGTTAGAGGGAAGCATTCTTAAACGGCTAGTGCGTGAAAGCAGTCCGCGTTATTCTGACAGCAAACCTACAAAGAAGCAAGACTGATGCACAAAGTGGCGCTTAAATAACTGACTGCTCTGCAACCCCTAGGGGCTGCTGGTGGTTAAACGTTTTGCTTATTGATGAAAGGGTTAGGTCAAGGCCTCTTGATAAATATCATCTAGCCTTGATGGGGAAGGCTCACGACGAGATGACACAGTGGCGCCATCTATGGCGCCGCACTGGCCCACTTTCGATCTTGCTATATGTCCTAAACTAGACTGAAGGTTCTGCAGTATTCAGGGGCGGATCCAGAACTCTGTTGAGGGGGGGGGGGGGGGGCGGAAAAATTTGTAAGGATTCTATTCTCCCATTCGAAGGAGTGGTACTCCAAGTCCAGAGTCCAAGTGTGCCTGCTAGGGTGCGACCTACCTATTTTGAACCCTCGTCCTTGAGTACCGAGCCTTCTACCACCTGGCAGGCCGGCAATCGGTTATTATTTGGGGGGCGGACGGCGGGTGGACGGGCGTCGGGGGTCTGCCCATGTCGAATGGCCCTCCGAGAAGGGGGGGGGGGGGGAGTGGGGGGGTCGACTTAGTTTGGGGGGGGCGGCCGCCCCCGTCGCCCCCCCCCCCCCCCCCCCCCTTGGATCCGTACCTGGCAGTATTAGCAAGGTCAAATTTACGTACTATGCACGAAAAATATGCCCCTTAAAACACTCAGAATTATTTTACGCCTACGGCTCATGAATGGTGCGTAAAAAATAGGTGTACATACTCTACCGGAAGTGGACGAAAACTATCCGATAGGTGGCGTCACTGTGTTATCTCGACGTAAGCAGCCACACTCAAGTCCAAATCTGTAAGCCGGCCTTTAAAACTACACTGATTACAATTTTGTTCATTTACATGGCCGAGCGGACAGCCAACGGAAAGCCACCGCGCCTAAAACAAGACACCACAAAAACACTTGCGTTCGCCTAATTTAAAGTGACGTTTAAAAGCATGATTACAAAGGCTTATTTTTCAACGTCTCCTAAGATTTTGAAGGTTAAATAATACGAAGTGCATTTTTCTCACAAGTCTTTCAAAAAATGTTTTTAATAACATAAGGGAATATTGCTTAACAAAAATCGTCCTTAAAAAACTTTTATTAATTTATTTATTTATTTATTTATTTGGTGATACTGCCAGCATTCTGTAGAACGCCCAGGCAGGAGGTGTACAAAAACAATATTCAAGAACAAGCGGAAGCAGTACAAACAAACAGACAGAGCCACAACTCAAGAAAGTGCGAGAGTAGGGCTTCACTAAGAGTATCTATTGATCTCAAATTTACAACACTTTCAGGAAGCTTATTCCACTCACACGTGGTTCTAGGAAAAAAGGATGCCTTAAACAATGTGGTTCGACACAATGGTTCGACAAGTGTTAATTGGTGTTTGCCTCTCGTGGTCCTTGTTTCGTTAAACGAAATGTAATCACAGAGATGCAGTCGCAAATTACCTTGCATCATATTATAAAGAAACTTCAGCCGTTCTGTTTTTCTCCGGGTTGCTAAATCACTCAATCCCGATCTTGGATACAAATCTGAAACGGATGACATAAAACCATAAAGCTTGTACACAAACCGCAAAGTTTTTTTTGTTTTTTTTTTGCACAGTCTCTAACATATCGATTGACATCTTTGTATGAGGGTCCTTTACAATACATGCATATTCTAGCATTGGTCTTATGATGGTCTTATAAGCAGTTGGTTTCGTTTCAGGTGAACAGAGGTTAATATTTCGTTTCATGTAAAATATGTTAGGCAAGAGGGCTTCGTTGCATTTAGTAGATTTATTAATTTTAGAAATTGTGTAATATTTGTCGTTTCCTACAATAGGTTCGCTCGAGAGAACTTCATGAATGTAACGGATTGGATACAGCTTCCAGAGGCACTGGTTTCAACCGCCTACCGCAGGGCAGCATTCAGGGTTGCCATGAGTGTGCCGGAAGCCGTTCGGCGAAATAAGGGGTATGCAACCTTTCCATTCATACGAATCTGTTAAACACAATGTAAACATTCCTAAACCATGACGCAGGCAAAAGCCTAAAAGCTGGTATTTTCTCTGAGAATCTACTTACCCAATTTGGCGGTGTTCGTGAATCAATACAGGTATCCTTGACACAAATCGATTAAGCACGATACCGGAGCTACGCCAATATGCATAGGTCAAAATAATGGTGTATCCGCACGACAGAGTCGCATGTACAGGGTGAGGCCGTAATTTACCGGCACAATTGGCATACCTTGAAATATTTGAATTCTAGGAGTACGTACCTGGAACTGGGCACGCGAACAAACGTATCGCAAAATATCGTACGTCTCTATTTTTTTTAGAACTTACCTCGGAGGTGGTGAGGTATTAAAATAATGCGAAAACGGTGGCCATGAATTTTCTAGTCCTACATTGGATGTTCGTCGTCTGCACGCTGGTTTGCGAGCTTGCTCCCAGGTGGCCACCCATCGTATATTTTATTTAAATTATTACTTACCAGAATTATCTTGCTCGTTGCCAATCTCCAATATGGTTTCCTCATTGTTTATTTTTTTTGGCATTCGGCAAGACACCTGGTAGCGAGTTCGCAAACTAGTGAGCAGACGACGAACAGGCTGATATAGAACATAGAAAGCGCACGGCCGCCGTTTTTGCATCTTAATGTTTTGTCTACCCCTAGTTGAGCTTTAAAAAAATACTTCACTTAAAACTTCTTGTGAAACGACATTCGCGTGCCGAATTTCAGGTAGGTAATTTTCTAATTCGGATTCTGCAAGGCGTGCCAAACTTGCTGGTACTCACGGCCTTACCCTGTAATTAAGCCGGCGAAATTTTTTTTTTTTTTTTTTTTGTGAATTTGTTAGCGATCTTCGAGGGCTCGTCGAACAAAAGAAAGGGAAGGAGAGAAAGAAAAAAATCACACCACAGACCAATGTTGTTGGCCGCAGTCTTTCCCCGATTGCAGGGGGAGGGGTCACTCCCATTGGGCGATAGGTAGTTTGCGGGCCCGCTGTTGAGAATAGCGAATATCCGTGACGCGGTACACGTGACCACCTAAAAACTCAATGACGCTTAAACCCATGTTCGGACAAAAACGCTGTCGTGGGAAGACACAGTAGGAGATGAACAAAAACCCCATAAGGAGAAATCACTCTTCTTTTTTTATTTGAGGAGGGGGGGGGGGGCAAATTTTAGCCTCACTAAAATGCACTTATAATTTCGAAACCAACTACAAAGGTGTGCAACTCCACTAAACACTGACATAGTAGCTCGGGGTGAGCCATGCGCTCGATTGACCGGACGTGCGTCTATCTTTTGTCACGTGATTAAGCCTCCCTCCCAACATTAACCCTAACCCCAGAGAGAGCGAAGTGTTCGATGAGAAAATGAAGGTGGTTGAATAATACCGGCAAGCGCGTCGACACTCCCGCACGATATCAGCTTAAGCGTGAACGAATTATACCATTTTACAATTTATTAGCACACCTTAAAAAAGAGAACGAGACTGACTGCCACATTTCGATGTACTTCGTTGCAGGAAAATATTAGGTATTGATATCTGTTCCCCAAGCGAGGTTATTTACAGCGAGGAAGATCTCAATATGGTAAGCACGGATCCAAAAATTCGATGCTCAGTAGCGGAACTACCCCCAGATGGCTAACTTAAAACGAAAAGAAATCACGCAACAGATGTGTACATCAACTGCCGGTGGTAAACTTGGAAAATAACTATGCAGTAATTATAACACACCGTGAATTAGGATTAATTACACGACACTGAAGTGTCGTATGCCGATTGAGATTTGGGGGTGAGACAGCTGGGGGAAAGACAACGAATTCGCATGAAGCCGAAGAAATCCACGCATCACTTAAAAAATAATGAAACAAAGAACTGCGATTGATCTCTACCCGTACAGCTCGCAACAGTGTCCGTCGAATTAGTTCAGTAAAAAACAGTGTGTTACTAAAAGCAATCAGATTGACACAATATGCCAGATACATTGGACACATGACAAGGAACCTAGAGTCCAAAGGATGGCATATAGCATACCAATGGCTGCCATCACACGTCGGTATCTCGGGCAATGAGACAGCCGATCGTCTCGCTAATGCAGCTCACCACATTCATGTACCAACACTTGTTATACCAAAAATGTATGAGGCCAGACTTATTATTCACAAAGAAATAGAGAAACTACATCCGGACACGCGCGTCTCTACCGGGAAGCCACCCGCACGCGTGCCTCCAAAGCTGTCCCGAGCCTCCGCTTCTCTACTGCACAGACTTCGCACTGGTTGTGCCTTTACTGCGAAAGCCCTTCACCGTATGGACCCAACAATAAACCCAAACTGTCCATCCTGTGATGTTCCCGAGGACCAGGACCATCTCCTCTGGACCTGCCCTACTCTAGCGGACAAAAGAAAATCGCTTCTCGACGGCCTGCGGCAAGCAGGCGTAGCAAGTGCTACAACACAGGACATTCTTTTTCCCCCAGGTTCTGCACGCAATGTCTCGAGAACATTCGCCGCAGTTCTCAAGTTCTTGGAGGACACCAGTTTATTTGACCGCCTCTAACCCCGGTGTCTGACATACACTGGGCGATGGCAACACTTCAACAACCGAGCCACAAAAACTGCTGACCAATTGTTCTTCTTTTTTTTTTTTAATTCTTTCTTCATCTTCCTTTTTGATCCCTTTTCATCCCATTTCCTCTCTTCTCTTTTCAATCTGTTCCTTTTCTTCACCTCTCTTCTTTCTTTAACTTTTTCTCATCTCCCCTTTCATCCCCCTCCCTTCCCCGGAACTAACCCGCCCCCACTAAAGGAGTGGCCAACATGTTCCGGCTTTCCGCTACCCTCACCACTAACTACTACTACAATCAGATTGAAATACTTTTTGTGATCTCAGCAGCTCGTTAATATGAAAAGTCTATTCATATATTGCGGCTTTTAATTTTTTTCGAGAAACGGATGTTAAGTTGCACTGGGGAGACTTGGCATACTTGAATTAAATCACTAGCTATCCGGCAATTTGCGGACACATCTTGAAAATTAGAATTCAATGTCTGCTTAGCTTTCACATCTAAATTCGGCAGCGAATAGTACCTATGAACGTTACCTCCTCCTTGGAAATACTTTACTTTGTAGCGACGCAAATCATGCAAAGTAAATAATTGAACGCCGGTGACGTCTTCCCCTACTACTATCATAATGAAAAGTCATCTGTGATATTTTTACCTCGGAATGTAAACATAAGTGAGGAGGCATAGAGACAACGAGTCAAATGATACACCCACATACATAGAACGTAAATGGACTCCTCCTATATATCCGTCTAAATCGCGCCAAGGTTGGCCCGCTATTTTCTCGTAAGATATGCGTGATTCGGAGAATGGGAAAAATTCGAACTTTTTTTATTTAACCGGTACTTTCAAGAAATCTATTGTTCTGAATTGGTGAAACGTCTATTTGCATTCATTATGATTTCAGCAGACGAACGTAATCACTTTTACCCACGAAAAAGTGTTTAAAAAAAAACAGTCAGGTGTGTGACATGTCTGTTTTGAAGGTTCAGAAAATCCTCATATGCGGTAGCAAAACGTGTCCACACAACAAAACTGCCTTATTTTTATGATTTTCTTACTAGTTTATGTGCGAAAAAAGTCGCATTTAAGAGGTGGAAAAAACTCTTTTACAAGTGCGTGTGGACGCAACATTGTTTCCCTACTCCGGGAATTATTATCATCATGTTTGTGTTTGTCTTGTGCCTCCACATTCTCTATGGTTACTATATACTTCCTACATCGAAGCAGATACTATACTCCGACATGCCGTAATTTTTCTTTTTCAGTAAGGTGTTCCTTCGCCACCATATTAGAATTTTACTGATTGTCTTATCTGATTTATTTAGCGATACTTAAACGTATAATGTTGCTTAGGCGTTTAACGTTGATCTTATGCAGTACATCGCCAAGCTTCCCAGTCTTAACTGCGACGAAGGAAGCGTAGAAGAAGGTCTTACGGATGTCCGGGTCATTCTGGCCAACTTGAAAAGAGGCAGACCAGGCCTGCTTCGCTGGCTCAAAGGAGAACTTCCACCAGCGGTTCCTTGAGCAAGAGCATCGATGGAAACACTGGAATAATGAGTGGGACCGATGAAATAAAGTATCCCATAGCAATTAGTGTTGTAGTTAAAAAAAATATTCAAACGTATTACCTTCCCCTTCACCATGACATCTGTCAGAATTCGAAAGACACTATTTTCGAGGAGTCTCTGTGCACAGCCAAGAAGCTACTGTGTACAACAATACTCGAGGAAACAAATCCTAATCAAATTACCAATAAACATGGACGAGCAGAATTCGGAAAATTACTAATGCGTTCTGCTTAAATACGCTGATAATATCAAATACCTAGGGATTCATTCAGACAAACATATTAAATTGAATATTTATGTAGAACATATTTGTAAAAAATTAAGGATATTAATGGCGCAGATGTGTCACGTACAAGATCTGGTCCCTCGACCCATACTAAGAACGACATGCAATTCACTAGGCAATTCCACACTCCAATATGGAATAACAGTCCATGGGCACTGTGCCAAATATATCTACAATTAAAAATAGAATTGATCCAAAAAAGGACAGCCCCCTAAAAGGTAGGTTACCGAAGTGAAGAAACACATCTGCAAAACTATATTCATAAAGAACTAGGAATGTTGCGTTACAGAGACCATATGATGTATGATATTAAAATAATACATTTTTTCAACAACATAAAGTGGAAAATGACAAAAGACAGTTATGTTTCCTTAAAATTTCTAGAATTAATGGGTAACATTAATGGGTAAAACGCTCCTTGGAAATCTAATCAAATTATTCTACATATTTGGTGATGGGTTTTAATTTCATGAAGGTATTGAGTTAAGTGATATAATGCTATGGTGGATGATATAGTCTCAAAGAAAGTGTCAACGGCAGGCGCGTTTTATCGAACGCCCGGCCTTCAGCACGCGCTCCATGCCTTCCGTCGTGCTTTGACAGAGCCCAAAACGTTGAGGCGCTTTTTGAAGGTACATGGCGCTCGCGCTGGATGCGGGACAAACGAACGCAGAAAAACGCCCATCGCATTTGTGCATTCGCTATCGCGGGCTACACCAATGAAGCACAGGGAATGCACCGCGATCGTTTTTTATTTGCGTGATTGGCTTAGCTGCACTCTAAAAAAAAAAAAAAAAAAAAAAAGAGGAAAAAGGTAGCAACGGCGCATTTTCCTCCCTTTTACTGACGCGCCCCCAAGCGGACACGAGAAGAAGGGAGAAACAATACGTTTTTCTCCCTCTTTAGGCAGACGGGAGAAACCTTCCACACTCCCGACTCATCTTTCGGTTTCGTTTTTTGAGCACGTCGCGCAGGTTGTTTAATAAATGTTGTTGAGTTGATTTTGCTTCAGCGGCAGCGAAGGCCGCCTGTAATAGACCCTTTACGAAAGTCAGCGCTTCTATAGTCGGTTACAAGTCAAGAAGGTAGGAGAAGCTCCTCCCACAAGTGTGATGCGCCCGTTTCAAATCTCTCCGCCGTCGAAAGAAGAGTTCACTGGAAACGCTCCTTGTTCCGCTTCAATGGATTCCCACTTGTCTCCGATCCCACTTTTTACGAAAGCGACCTTTGTATTCATCGGAGAGGGAACCGAGCCCCTGAAAGCAGCCTTTGTATCCATCGGGGGGGGAAGCTAATCCCCGAAAGTCGTATTTGTTTCCGTCGGTGGGGGAGAACTCTAATCTCCCTCTCGTGGCTTCCACAATGCTAAGTCAAAGTCGAAAGATAAAGCAAATATCTATAGAAAGGCAAGACCCTCCTCGCGCGTTGTCCGCGACGTCACGGAAACGGTGGGACGCTATTGGATGCAAAGGTGGCGGAGGGATATCTGATTCCCTTTGAGATGTGCCGCTACCTTCTTAACCTGTAACTGACTATAGTGTTGGTTGCGCGAACTTGACAAAATCCGCCATTACTACGTGGTCAAGCATCGAGGGGGACGGTTGAACCTGAACCATTCCGATGCGTTCGGCAGTGGGGATAGCGTTTGACATGCCAACCCATTGCTGCGTCCCTCAATGCACCCAAAGAGGGCCGCCAAAAGATGAAAAACAACACAAGGTAAGTCTTTTTTTTTCTTTTTTTCACGTTAAAAACACCAGTATTCGAAGAAATCGGGTCATGCAGATCCGCGCGGAGTGAGCAACGATCACATTTGGCCTGTCCGCTGCTGCCTCATTCGGGGTGTAAAGTTAGCACAAATAAAAATAATCTATAGAGGATAACCCCTGTCCACGCGACATCGTTTCGAAATGCGTTTGAACTGCACGAGTAATCGTGCGATGGATCCCGTAGCTGCGAGCGACTCTTGACCAGGATTCAGAGTTGATTCCTGACAACGTTGCGTTGTGGGGTCCGATCACAAGTTGTGTGAAGTTTCCTAGTAGGTATGGGCACGTAGAGTGCTCGCGCGTCACGACATTACAGGGAATTCGATAGAACATTGTTTTACGTCCACGACATCGGCGTTGCATGGTTGCTCTTGCAATCGAGTGGCCGTGCTCTTGCTAGCACGGAGAGGTGTACTTCGTCTCTTTGATGCCTGTATCGGGAACGCGTGCTGCAACTTCTAAACATGTTTTCAAGCGCGCGCCCGCGCCGGTATTGGTCCTCCGAGAACGATTTGCTTTGCTCGTCCCCGCAACGTTCTGCTAGGCTGCCCTTCAAGTGCTTTGACCACATTACCTCGTAACTTTGTCCGTGAGCATAGAACTCACCCGATCACAACCGCAAAAGGCACAGCATGCCATAGAATACATCACACAGCATATTTGTCTGCCACAACATAAAATTTGGAATGAATGAATGAACGATGTGTTGTTGAGAATAACACTGGAGAGTAAAACAGACGTGCACATGGGATGCAAAGGAGAGTTGACTTTATTAAGGTCGTTTCAAGAGCTTGTAACAAAACAAATAGGGACAGAGAGACACACATGAGTCTTGACAGAAGGCTGTTTAAAAACTACCAGTAGAACAGCCCAACGGAAACAAGTTTCTATTGCAAAAATATTTCTACTCCCAGGTTTCCTACCTTGGCTTTCCTCTGGCTCCTGAAGCCGCTTGCTTTGATCAGCACTCCGGTGATGGATCTGAAATAAAGCTGCGTTCTTGTTTACTTATGTTTACTGCATAGATTGTACAGTGAACAAACATAATATGTGTTCACCCTCATTGTCTTTTTAAATAAGAGGCAAAATCTTAGCAGTGCTCACTATGTGTGAGAAAAGACGCGTCATTCTGGGCTCAATCCCCACCCTGCCCGTTTTGATCTGGATGAGCATTGTAAAGGCCTACGGTCGTGTATCACTACTGCGTGATGCACGTTAAAGACCCCAGGCTAGCGGTTGTAGTGCACTGGCTAAATTGCTCATCTACAGCTGGGAGACTGGTCGCCCGTTGAAGCAGACAAAATTCTAGGCTAAACATACATACAAACCAGCTTTCTTTTATCGGGTTAGTGTGCTGTTGTATTGATGTTTGATCGTGCCATGTGTATGTTCAGTTGATGCTTATAGTATGCGTAATGTGTCTACATGTGTGAGGAAATAAAAAGATTTTTGTAGAACATGAATTGTGCAGTACCTAGCGCCATCTAGTCGAGCTACTTACAAATACTCTACTTGATCCTGCCACCTGGTGGCAAGCGATTTAACCTTCTTTTACGCTACGCGATAAACAGCGGCTTCGAGTTTTGTTCTTTTGAGAACGGCTTTGGTTTCGCGGATTGATTTGCCATTCCTCCGTGATGTGCGGTTGACGAAAAGTGACTCGAGGAATAGCAAAGGTAAGACGTAAAGTGCGCGAAGTAACTGGGTATCGGTTGTCTCCATTAAACATCGCAGTGCTGACGACGAGAAGACTGAGTAACTAACTGCTTTTTAAACGCAAGTTTCTTTACCTGCGGGGGGAATCTTGCTTCGGAAATAAACACAGTTCGCGGAAAGCTCGTGTTACGCTTTTATTTGCTGCTCCTCTCGTCCCGTACAAGAGCCGTAGCGTCCTCGTTAAGCATTACTGAGCTCGATTTGCTCAATTCGGGGCCGCCATAATGAGATGCAGGCGGCGGAGGAACTATTTGCTCCCCTGCTTCAGGGACGAAAGTTTCTCCCTTTCTAAAGGGACATAGGTTACAAGACCGTTCCTCCCCTTAGGGAGGACTATTGTTACCTATTTTTCTAAGAGTGTGGAGATACCAAATCCCCCAAAACAGGAGAGCCGTGGAGATGCACTTTTGGCGCTGCTCGATTAATTCCATGAGAACGTGCACCGGCTGCGGTCAGATTCAAGCCGTTTACCCTACACCTCCTATAGTCAGTTACGGGTTAAGAAAAATTTTCGAGGCAAAGGAGGGAGGAGGAAGCATACTAAACTCTGCAAGAGGCTTCCTCCTCTTTTCTCCAGATTTTCGTCTGCTTCCTCCTTCCCAACCTTCCTTTTCCTCGTAACCTTTTCTTAGCCTATAACTGACTACAGAAAGGAAAGTCGAAGTGCTTGTCAGCGTCACTAAAGAAGGCCATCGTAGGCCACAGATTGGACACGACTACGGCGTCGGCGTTCGGTCTGGAGTCGTGTTCTCACTGATTGGACACGAGTTCACACCGAACGCTGAGTCAGCACTCGTCTCCAATCTGCTGCCTACGGTAGCCTTCGTATCGCCGAGTCCCACAATGGACTAAAGGGCTTTGGCCTTTAGTCCATCGTCATCCTACGATGGACTAAAGGCCAAAGCCACGGGCCGCCAGATATAATCATGTTCCACGCTATATGACACGCTTAACATTGATTAGGGATGAACGAATAATGCTCGAATCTAAAAGCGCCGCATCATTTCTATAGCTTTGAGGCTGCAAAGAGCCTGTATGTCGTGGCTTTCTTTGCGATGTAAAATTGTTGAGTCACTAAGTGCTCTTTGATTCGAACCACCGTCCACCCGTCCCCTCATCCATGATCCGAGACGCGGGCACCGATTCGTGCATCGAAACGAAATACCGCACAATTTCTAAGTGGCTCATGATTGGATCTGGCGGTTCGCAGCTTTTGCCTTTAGTCTATCGTATACGTT